TCAGCATCAGCAACCACTCAGTGGGAGGCTAAACTCACAGCTGCTACCCTCCTCTCATTGCTCCTCCACTCCCCTCTGCAGAGGACGTCTAGTAGGGGGAGGGAGGGGCAGGCAGGACGGCCTTGATTCATCAATGACAAAGAGATAGGAAAAACAGACTGTACTAATAGCCTTCATAACGCAGATGTGTGTTTCTATAATTTTGCTGCATGGGCAAAATCATCATAAACAGCCAGCCTCAGGAAAATGATCTCCCCTCTCTCTCTTCACACCAGTAATGACCAAAAGGGAGGTGGCAGGTATATCTGCTAAGTGATTGATTGGGTTGGTGATTGATCTGTTTGTTTTAATTTGGTCCAATGATCTACCTCCATTTTGTCCCCCAAGATATCCCCTCAGAGACCATTTCCACAGATAACACATCACCAACACAATAGTAACACACACACACACACACACACACACACACACACACACACACACACATACACACACACACACACACACACACACACACCCAAACCCAAAGTATTACCTGGGTTGGTTGTCTGCTGACATTTCAGATTTCATACTCCAGGCCCTTGTGGGCTGCTGCTGCAGGAGGAGAAATATCCACACTATTTATGCACAGTAGTGTGTTTGAGTGTGTGTTTTACAGACAATATCCTTAGTGCTGATGCTGGTGTTGTTCTGTGGGGAATAAAATAAATAAATAACAGGGACGGGAGAGAGGCGGGTGAGGAAACCGCAGTTAACATGTACCCAGGGAGTGATATGTGAAGACATGGCAGGCTATTATAAGCATGGTTCCTTATTTTATCACTTTGTAGCCCAGTCCTCCATGTTATAGCTCCAAGGCATGACTGGACACAGAGATGGTCCTTTCCTGAGATGAGGGATTTTATTGTTAAATTTGCATATTCTTTATTTCGTGGTTTAATTGGTTTTGTGCTCATCATTTTGAAAAAGCCTTGTTATTCAATGTTACGGTCGGAGGTGTCGTCTGTAGCTGTCAACACAATCTTGTTCCATGTATGGGTATGCCCATTTTCAACATGCAGAACATTTGTCGTCAGGGGGAAAACAGTTGTGACACGTTGTGAAATTACCCAGGGTTGGTTTGATTTACGGCCTGCATATTTTCTCTTAACATTTACTCCCAAGTGGCAAGTGGTCAGACATTTATGAGTGTTTTTAAATGTAATGTAAAAACAGCGTAGATTCTGTTTTGTTTGTTTAGTAGGCTCATTTTTTCCACAGTCCTAATCTCTCTCTTCTTGTGACCTAGTGGAATTCTTGATTTCACCTAGTGGCATTCTTGACTGTAGAGTTGGAGAGTGTTCCTTTGGAAAACAATTCAGAGGACCTGAGAATAAGATGGGCATGGATCAGGATGTGTTCTTGGTTTATCTGTGCTGTGTGCCCGGGGCTGTTCTGAGAGTGTGGGAAGCCCTGGCAGGCAGCGCAGCAAGGCACTAAGGCAGGGCCCCCTCCAGCAAGAGATACCTATAGCTTTAGCTTACCCAGTGCCTATTCCTCCTGAGTGCCTGTCCTGTCCTCCTGTGCTTCTGATGTAATGGAGGTTGTCTTCTGAAGCTATTGTTATGATTAATGCATCTCTTTCCCCTCGGAGGAATCTTCGTTTTTATTTTATTTTACTTTCTGTATTCCACAGCTGTGTATTCCATTGTTCCTTGCTCCCCCCTCAGAACCTGCAGCAGTTACGTAAGGGGAAATGCGGGTTGCTCAGGTGGTAGCGACTAGCCACCCTGAGGGCCTGCCATCTCATCTTGGTTACGCTCAGAGGGAGATGACAAATTACTGCTCACACACCATTGGGTAGAGAGAAGGCTCAGGAAAAAGGAGTCGAAGGTGGAAATGGACGAGGGGACTTGGAGAGCTATAGGTTAAAGCTAGTGTAATAGAGTTCCTTCCTGCAGAGCTTCCAGAAGGTCATGGAGATGAAATATGGAAATGTATAAGTATTAATATGGATGTGTGCATGAATCCATATTATTGAGATGAATTGGGTCACGTTCGTTGAGGAGGATGAAGACAGACCTGTGGAAAACCATTCAACAAGGCCGCAGGGCCAGACGGATTACCAGGACGTGTACTCCGAGCATGTGCTGACCAACTGGCAAGTGTCTTCACTGACATTTTCAACATGTCCCTGACTGAGTCTGTAATACCAATATGTTTCAAGCAGACCACCATAGTCCCCGTGCCCAAGGACTCTAAGATAACCTGCCTAAATGACTACCGACCCGTAGCACTGACGTCTGTAGCCATGAAGTGCTTTGAAAGGCTGGTCATGGCTCACATCAACAGCATTATCCCAGAAACCCTAGACCCACTCCAATTTGCATACCGCCCCAACAGATCCACAGATGATACAATCTCTATTGCACTCCACACTGCCCTTTCCCACATGGACAAGAGGAACACCTACGTGAGAATGCTATTCATTGACTACAGCTCAGCATTCAACACCATAGTGCCCTCTAAGCTCATCACTAAGCTAAGGATCCTGGGACTAAACACCTCCATCTGCAACTGGATCCTGGACTTCCTGACGGGCCGCCCCCAGGTGGTAAGGGTAGGTAACAACACATCTGCCACACTGATCCTCAACACGGAGGCCCCTCAGGGGTGCGTGCTCAGTCCCCTCCTGTACTCTCTGTTCACCCATGACTGCATGGCCAGGCACGACTCCAACACCATCATTAAGTTTGCCGACGACACAACAGTGGTAGGCCTGATCACCGACAACGATGAGACAGCCTATAGGGAGGAGGTCAGAGACCTGGCCGTGTGGTGCCAGGACAACAACCTCTCCCTCAACGTGACCAAGACAAAGGAGATGATTGTGGACTACAGGGAAAAAAAAGAGGACTGAGCACGCCCCCATTCTCATCGACGGGGCTGTAGTGGAACAGGTTGAGAGCTTCAAGTTCCTTGGTGTCCACATCACCAACGAACTATCATGGTCCAAACACACCAAGACAGTCGTGAAGAGGCCACGACAAAGCCTATTCCCCCTCAGGAGACTGAAAAGATTTGGCATGGGTCCTCAGATCCTCAAAAAATTCTACAGCTGCACCATCGAGAGCATCCTGACTGGTTGCATCACCGCCTGGTATGGCAACTGCTTGGCCTCCGACCGCAAGGCACTACAGAGGGTAGTGTGTACGGCCCAGTACATCACTGGGGCCAAGCTTCCTGCCATCCAGGACCTCTATACCAGGCGGTGTCAGAGGAAGGCCCTCAAAATTGTCAAAGACTCCAGCCACCCTAGTCATAGACTGTTCTCTCTGCTACCGCACGGCAAGCGGTACCGGAGTGCCAAGTCTAGGTCCAAAAGACTTCTCAACAGCTTCTACCCCCAAGCCATAAGACTCCTGAACAGCTAATCATGGCTACCCGGACTATTTGCACTGCCCCCCCACCCCATCCTTTTTACGCTGCTGCTACTCTGTTAATTATTTATGCATAGTCACTTTAACTCTACCCACATGTACATATTACTTCAACTATCTCAACTAGCCGGTGCCCCCGCACATTGACTCTGCACCGGTACCCCCCTGTATATATAGCCTCCCTACTGTTATTTTATTTTACTTCTGCTCTTTTTTTCTCAACACTTTTTTTGTTGTTGTTTTATTTTTACTTTTTTTGTTAAAAATAAATGCACTGTTGGTTAAGGGCTGTAAGTAAGCATTTCACTGTAATGTCTGCACCTGTTGTATTCGGCGCATGTGACCAATAAAATTTGATTTGATTTGATGTCTAAAAGAAAGTGTTAAAGTTCAGTTATGGTGATTATTTGGTATACAGTATTAGTGTGCAAGAGGAAAAGTAGGTTAAGTCTGTAAATGTTTGAAGTCTTTGTTTAAAAGAGGCAGACTAAATTAGCCATGGAGAGAGCAGGATCATTTTTATGTAGATCCTTATATAACAAGCCAATTTAGAGTAGTGAAATTAATCTTGCTTCCCTGTTAAAATGCATGTTCGTTACAACATGAAGTCCTATTTACATTCCAATCATCCCACTCTCATCCACCCAGCCCTCAGCCCTGTAGGATCCCACCTCCCACCCGCTGGAAGGAGGGAGGATGACGGATGAGATTGAGAACCAGGGAGAGATATTAAGGTTATCACAGGGCCAAAAAGTAATTATCCGGTTCCTAGTTCACCATATCCCAGAACATGCAAACTGAGCGAGTGCATTTTCAAAGCGCTGGATAGCAGGGTGGAGGCGGCAGCACGTGATTTAAGATGGAAGTTTCTTGCGTGTTAAGGTTATCAGAGAAGGATGAATGGCAGGTGGGGGGATATATTACAGCAGAGGACCTAGTGAAGCCATGTAGCGGGCCGTTCATAAATCACAAGGCAAAGTAAGTCAGACCAGCCAATGGCTGAAATGCTGCTGCCTGTATAGTCTGAATATCGACTTCCCCCTGCTCCTCTCTTAAATGATGAAGTGTGGAATATAAATGGCATAATTACTCCAGAATTGAAATGAAATGGATTATTTTCTGTTACCTGGCCAGACCAGATGGTGGGTTGATGCTGCATCGCTCTGGGTGTGTGTTTGTTCTAATAAAGGCACACTGCAGTACCAAAGTATGAGACCGCCCCTCACCCAAATCATCCTAGCATGTTGAGGTGACCGGTGGAAGAATAGATTTTCTTCATGTCAGCCTCGTTCCACCTAATTGATGCAGATGAGTCCATCTCTGATGATAGCTCCTGTCACAGTTGCTCTTTTCAGCCCCAGTATATCACAAAGCAATGCAGCGCTTCTCCTCCCTGCCCTGAAAGTCTACTGTAACTGGTGTCCAAAACCGTCTTCCTCCAACTGATAGTGATGTGAGCAGCCCAGGAGTTAGCTGTACTCCTATAGTCTACAATATAGCTGGCTGCTCTGACAACTAGGCTCCATTCTAGCAGTGGTGTCCCATGCCACTGCGGTAACAAAGGCAGGCGGTAAGGCAGGCATGCAGGCGGTAAGGCAGGCAGGCAGGCAGGCAGGCAGGCAGGCGGTAAGGCAGGCAGGCTGTAAGGCAGGCAGGCAGGCGGTAAGGCAGGCAGGCGGTAAGGTAGGCAGGCGGTAAGGCAGGCAGGCAGGCGGTAAGGCAGGCAGCAGTAACATACAGAGCTATAGATGAGATAGTAGATAGCGGTCCTGGTTTACAAGCCCAGCCAGACGCTGCAACACGGCACGGGAGGGAGAGAATCTAAACAGCTCATTAGAAAGGCTCCATCATGTCCTTGGACCACTTTAGTTATCCTCCCCCAATTATCCTGCCCTTCCCTAGCCCAGAATAACAAAGGAGGGAATAGTCTGGTGAGTCACAACCCCCACAGACGCAGAGATGCTGCTGGAGGTAGTTCTTTAGGGCAGGTTGTCTCAACAGGAGAGCTCTGCTGTAAATTAAACACCCTCGCACCAACATAACTGTGTGTGTGTGTTTTCTATTAATCCACTCTCTATACTCTGCCTCGTATTGTAACTTCTGTATCCTCTTTCACATACCTGGAAATGTCTATGTGTGTCCGTCTGTCCAGACTGTCTCCTTCTGGCAGTGTTGTGGTGTCCTCCTCCCCAGACTGTTGCTGCTGTCTCAGGCTGCACCTCCTCTTCTCTCCCTGCACCTCCTCTCCTCTCCCTGTGGACAGAGAAGTGAGCTACCACTGCTCCCCAAAGCCAGTCAAGTCAGTCAGCCAGTCAGTGGTCGCCTTGAGTGGCGCTCACACCAGAGAAACAAGGTTATTACCAGGTGAAGGCAGGCAGCTAGGCAGGCTACAGTGCACCGCTCTGTTGCCCAGTGTCTCGCTGGTGCTGCTGTGTCATTAGACCATTGCTCCACTTCACTTCTCAGACTGGCTGAGCTGTAGGTCTGGCTCCTGATCTGAGAGGTGAGGAGGAGGGGGGTCACTGCATTAGACCCCCTGGAAGTCTCATATAAGAGGGAGGCAGCCTTCCCTCCTACTGCACATTCACAGATCCACCTAAAGAAGAGTTGTCCTTGTTGTGTGTTGTGGGTCTTTGAGCACAATCCCTTTATTACCCTGAGAGAGAGGACGAACCTCAGACAAGCAGAGAGAGAGCCAGTGAGGGAGAGAGAGAGAGAGGGTGAGTTTAGGAGGAGGAGAGAGAGAGAGCTCTGAGTAGGACTAGGCTCTGCTGATTCTGGCACGATTACTTCAACTGTTTGTCATATCAGCTTAGCTCTGACAGCGGGATCGGGAGGCAGAGAGGTGGCTGGAGAAGGGAACCACAGCCAGGATTCCACACTAGCCCAGAGGAATAACTGTGTGCTGGGCCTGCCCTGCCTCCTGTGTCCCTCTGCCTGGTTCCCCAAACCTCCATCCCCCCCGGGGTTTAGGCTGAAGCCCCCAGAAAAAAAAATAGAGATAAAGGGAGAAGGTTTTTGGGAAAGTTCGCCTCAGTCTCATCAGGGTTTTGGTATTGAACCCGCGGCTAAGTGGCAGCGTGACAGGAAGAGGTGGGGTTTTTTTTCCCCCAAAAAGGTGTTTCTGTGGCAACGGAAACGGCTTGCCACCAGCAAAATTTTTAAAACCAACCGGCCCCCCGGGGGGAAAAAGGCGGGGGAGGGGGAAAGGGGGGGGGGGGGAAAAGGGGGGAAAAAGAGGAAGGGGAAAAAAGGGGGCCCGGGAGGGGGGGGACAAAAAAAGGGGGGGGCGGGCGGGGGCAAAAACCCCCCCGGGGGGCGGGGGAAACCCCCCCGGGGGGGGGGGGGACCCCCGGGGGGGGGGGGCCACCCCAGCCCGGGGGGGGGGGGGGGAAAAAAAACCCCCCCGGGAGGGAGGAAACCCCCCCCGGCGCGGGGGGGGGCCACCCCGCCGGGGGACGCCCAAACCCCCGGCGGGGGGGAGGGACCGAGGGGGGGGCAGGCGGGGGCCCCCCCGGGCCCGCGCGCGGACCCAAACCCCGCCCCCCGCGGGGGCCCCGGGCGCGACCCCCCCCGGGGGGGCCGGGCGCCACCCCCGCGCGGGCGGCGCGCGGACCCCCCCCCGGGGGCCCCCGGGCCACCCCCCCCGGGGCCGCGCGCGGACCCCCCCGCGCGGGGGCCCCGCGGGGCGCCACCCCGCGCGCGGGCCCGCGCGCGACCCCAGCGCGGGGGGCGGGGCCACCCGCGCGCGACCCCCGCGCGGGGCCGCGGGCCCACCCCGCGCCGGGCCCGGGCGGCACCCCCGCGGGGGGCCGCCGGGGCGCCCCCCCCCGCGCGCGACCCCGCGCGGGGGCCCGGGCCCACCCCCGGCGGGCCCGCGCCGGACACCCGCGGCGGGGGGCCCGGGGGGGGCCCCCGGCGGACCCCCCGGGCGGCCGGCGGGGAACCGCGCAGCGGACTCTAGCGCGGCGCCACACCCCCCAGCGGAGCGCCCGACCCCTCGCGGGCCTCTTTCCCACCCACCCGCCCGCAATCACCACCCCTCTCGCGCGAACCACGCTACTCCCTCGACAACAATCTCTCCCTCCTCTTCCACCCCCCGCCCTCACCCCACCCTCTCCCCCCCAGCTTTCACACTCTCTCACACCGCGACCCCCTCTCTCTTCGTCTCTCTCCACCTCACCCCTATCTATTCACACTCTCCACCCCCGTTCTCTCTAGTCTTCCCTCTCTCTCTACCCCCTCTCTCTTTCACTCTCTCTACCCCCTCTCTCGTTCCCCTCTCCTCCACTCTCTTTGCTCCCATGAGTGGATCCTCTTCAGTGTTGTGTACAGATATATGTTAACCCCTGCTGCTTGTGTTTCCTGTGTGTGTGTAGGTGGACGTGGGGGTGGTACACTTCACCCCTCTGGCTCAGCCCCAGATCAAGCAGCCCTTCAAGCTGGTGGAGAAAGTAGTCAGGAATGTCTTCCAATTCCGGAGGAAGCACTGCCGCAAAGGAATCGAGTAAGCAATATTTCTACCCCACCTCCTGCTACGGTTCACGCTTTAATCGCTCTCTGTCTCGCTCTACACTCTCTCTTTGTTACATGCCACATTAAGTGAACTCTCAGTTCATCCTTGACCAGCTATATATAAAGCTGCTCATGGCTCCCTCTCTCCCCATGCCTGTGAGGAGTGTACGTAGGCAGGCTGTAGGCCCGGGGAACAAAAGAAGAGAGCAGCAATTATGAGTCATTGGGGTGTCATAGGAAGACGAGGCATGATAACTTATGTAATTGCAGAGAGGCAGCTTTAACAGCTTGAGGAGGAGCTAACTGGCACTGAAGCGCTAAGCAAGCATCTGTACTGGGTATGTGGGTGCGCTGTGATGCTCTTGAAGTTGGGTTCTGTATGTTAACTGTGAAAACCCATGGTGTTGCTGAGGGCATCTGGGGCTACATCTCTAGTCTTCAATTGTTCATTCTCCTCGTCTCCTTTCCACGACCAATGATCTGAGAGGACATGACATGACAACTGAATTTATGTTACTGTCATCTACAGTATTAGTCTGGTGGAATCTGCACCCTAACAGCTTTGTCTGCATATTTAATCACAATAACATGATTTATTTATGCTCTTTGTGGCAGCATTTTGTTTGATTTAAATTAATTCCTGTTTTCTATTTCTAAATGATAGCTGGAGGCTTGTGGACATATTGCCCAGCAGATTCCATCTGGCCCTGTACTGTCCCTATGAGTGGTCATGATAGACCGGAAGCCAACTGAGCCTTTTCCTGTTCTCTTCCCAGAATGCTGTTCCCGGAGACACAGAGGCTGGAGCTGGCGGAGGTGATGATGCATGAGGCGGACGTGGACCCCACCCTGCGCCCCACGGAGCTCTCCATTCCTGACATCAGAGCCCTGGCGGACGCCTACAGCCGCCTCTGCTCTGAGAACCAGGGCCTCCTCACCTACGACTTCAGAGAGGAACTTAGACTCAAACACCTTAACAGGCGATCGGGCAGCAGCACTCAGCAGCCCGTCTGACAGAGAGGCTAGGAGGACGGAGGGGAAGGAGTGCCTAATGGTCTCTTAGAGACGAGACAACGGACTGCTCTTAGCTCTGACATTTCCACCTGGCACACGCATGCATTTTTAAACACCATTTCTCTGGTTTCCCGGAGGCACTGGGTGACATACAGTGAATCCCGGATGTGATAGAATTGAGAGGGACTGTGGTGGAAACATGGGGAGAACTGATCACTGGCCGTGGCTGGGGTAGCTAACACACAGATCAGACTAGAGCTCAGGCACTCCAGTCCAGTTGTAAAGGAAGAATAGACCGTGTGAAATGACCAGCAGGAGAGTTAAGTGATGAGATGAGTTTGTAATTCTCAACCCATCACCCACTATGTCCTGGTTCTTACCTCTGATTCTGATTTCCCCATATGACTTCGTCCTCTGGGAGATGAGTCCGGAAACATTTTCATGACGATTTAGAGAATAAGAACACGTTGACGGTATTCAGGCCATTCCGCCTCCCTCTTCTTTGTCTCACTCACTGGGGAGATGGGGGTGGTGTGGGAGGAGGGAAGTGCTGTTGGAAAGTTGGCAGCTCCTGATGAGGCTATTGAAATCCTAAAATCATCAGTGAGTACTGAGTGCTTTGTTAAAAACTAAATAAATAAAATGCTGGCCATCTGTTTTTAAATGTTTTGTGAGTGATGATTGAACAATGGTGTTACTGTTTCATGAATGTGTTTGGTTGTATGTTCGGTACTATCAGATAACACCACCATATTGCTAGGACTTTACCTTTGCATGTTTCTTCCTACTCTGTCCTGCTTCTGTCACTTAATTACCTATATCATTGAGTCTACTTTGGTCCAATGCAGAGAACAAGGATTCTCCATTTTTCTGACAGCTCATCAACTAGGAATTGGGATAGAGCTGGAAATAAACCATTCATCTTACCTGTGCTTTACCTGTCAATGAGACAAGAAGAATATAGATTCTCAAAGCCAGACTGAGACAGCTTTGAAATACAACTGGATAAAACAAGCCGCTCTCACAAGACCGCATCTCACAGATAAAAAATGTTTATTTATAAAACAGTTCATTATGGTTCACATTCATTGGTATGCTAGCATTGAAGGCATGTTTACAGTTGAGTTGAGGGGGCAAACCGAGAGGGAGGGTATGTGGTGGTGGTGGTGGTGGTGGTGAGTTGTCAGATAATAGGACGTCTCACCAGCATCTTCAAGATGCAACAGCTAAATAATAAGTACCTTTACAAAAATATCCCCAAAACACTGTGGGACCAGACACTGTATTTATTGCAAGTTGCAGCCATTTTTACCTGTACAATTGAGTAATAATATAAAAGATTCAAATGAAGTTACAGTACAGCTACTCAATATGTACACCTTGGATATGGGAGCTAGAAACAGGGCAAGTTGACAACCCATTATTTTAATTAAATCATGCCGTTTTACTTTGACAATGCCTGTGTACATTGGGGGGAGGATGACAACCATACTCTTATTCAACATACTGGAAACAGTCTAATTAGGTGAAACATATACCATATTTTTTTCTCTCCAGATTCTTCAATTCAAGCCAACCCCATATGTATTTTGCATAGCAATAAAAAATTACAACGACCAATAAATAAACATTGCTTTAAAAACAAAAATCCCATGATGTACATATACAAAATTATTTTTCAAATATAGGCAAACAGTGTACTTTAGTGCACAAAATACAGCAAGGCAGTCACAATAAAATCCATTTCCATCCTCTCCTGTTGATTCAGATTGACTTCCTACAGCTCAGGAAGACTGAGTTTAAGTGAAGCTCTTAGGGTGAGTCTCAATAGTCTAAAGTGGAATCCTCTCATCTCCGTTCTTCTCTCTGATGTGAATGAACTGGAAGGGTGACAGTCTATCCATTATATTACTCTCACCTATGTAAAGGAGACAAGGAGAGGAAGCCAATTCAGATAATTGAGATGGGCCCTTAGAGATGGGGAGCTGGGCAGAGGTATACACAGAAGAGCAGGGCTGGATGGAGGCGGAGCGTAGTTGTGTATTAGTGCTCAGCAGATTCATTGCAGTAATTATCAGGGACAGAGTCACCTCGTCTCTGTCTCTAGTGGGACAACCATGTCGCTAAGCCAAAGGCAGCTCATCTTTCCTTTTACACCTGTGCATAGCTAAGCAGGTGGGATCTGCACAGTTTAACTTCAGAGCTGAGGCACAACAAATACCCTGGGACTAGGACAGAACTGAACCCGGGGTTTCCCATGCCCTGAGGCAGGGAGCGGGCGCTGGGCAGAGCTTTGGTCCCTCTCCTTGTGTCTATCCCTGACCCTATGAGGAGTTAGGGGCACTGCCAGTGTCCGTAGGGTCGTAGAAACAGTCCTCGTTGACCACGGAGGTAAGGCTCTGTACGCTGAACTCTCTCTCCAGCAGAGCGCTGAGGTCCATGGCTGCCAGGTCCGTCTGGCTGTCCAGGGAACGGCTGTGTTCCCTCAGGCTCAGTAGCGCCCGCAGGCTGCTGCCTTTCCTCTTCACGGGGCAGAAGTGGCCCCGAACGAGCTTGGGCTGGCTCTCCGGGGTGTTCACCTCGGCTCCCTCTGGCTGCACGCGGGGGGCCGGCGCCCGGGAGGAAGCTGCCTCCTCTGACAGCCTCAAACTGAGAAACTGGGCCTCAATGGCGCAGGTGGGGAAGCTCCCTCCCCCCTCCTGATTTCCACCAGCCTCACTGAACTCATCATCCTCATCACTCAGGATGTATGACTCCTTCATGGAGCTGGAGCCAGAGGGCCGCTGGCCGCCCCGGGAGCCCCGAGACCAGGCCTGTCGGGTGGGCAATGTCTTGGGCTGTGTGGGACCGTCAGCTGCGGGAACTCCAGAGGAGCTGTGGGTGCCGCTGCTCAGGCTGTCCTCGTCAGAGTCAGGCTGGCCAGGTTTCAGTGTGCTGGCTGGGGTGGGGAGATCCAGCAGGGGCTGCTTACATAGCCAGGAGAGTCTGGATGAACCTGGTGGGGGATGGAGGAGAGAGAGAGAGCTGCCAACTGAGCAATACATTCACTAATATCTGGCCACAAACACTACTGTATGTACAGTAAGTCAATGAGTGCTTATAAGGTCAAGGTCATGTTGTCTAAATATAAAAAATCGAAGCAGTGTTATTTTAAGTGATTTTTGGAACAAGGCAAGGATGAGACTCACCTATCCTGGCAGAGGAGGGCAGGGTGCTGCGTAAAGGCGTGAGGCGCTCCTTACACCCCCTCTCGGCCGGGAGCATGTTCCGCTTGACGTTCTCCCGGAGGATGGAGCGGATGACCTTGATGATGTTCACTTTGCACTCTGGGACACTGCGGAGGGAGACAGCGGGAGTCTTTAGTGCCATGCTCTGAGAGAGCAGGGCTAATTCACACAGTCTACGACAGGAGGGCACCACACCACTTCTCTGGGACCACAGTCCTGCTGTTGTTTATTTCCCCCTGACACTCAATGGACCACTGATTGGCTAGAGAGTCCATGCAACCCCTGACCTTGTAGAAGGCAGTCTCTGATTAAGAGGATAAAGAAAGACCAAGATACTCTGTGGCCCTCAAGGACCAGAGCTATAGATCCAGTCAGAACTACTGCTCTCTTTTACCTGCTACACAGCTGGAAGACAGTCTCTGGCCTTCCCTCCAGTTCAGACTTGGTATGAATCATCTCCCAGATGCAAGTAGTCTCAGTACCTTAGGAGGATTGGAGAATATCCTTTTAATCAAGACATCTAAGTACAGTTTCAAAAGACTCAATATCCAAGAGAATGTGATCTCTGGTAGTTAATGAGAGCCAGAAGGGTGTGTGTGTTGTGTGTCTGTGTAAATGATTGTGTAAGTCTGTTTGTGTTTGTGTGTGTGTGTGTGTGTGTGTGTGTGTGTGTCTTGCTCTCTTACCCGTAGCGTTCCCTAGCCGGACCTGCAGTGCAGAAAGCGGGATGAGCCAGCGGAATTTGAAGGGGTCTAGGTCTCCATGGGAGTGCGCCGAGCGAGAGGCGGTCTGCACACACACGAGAGAGAGAGATGTTAGGCACTGCTGGCATCAAAGGCATATGAAAGTTAATGAAAGACAGAGAGAGAGAGAGAGAGGACTCACCATCTTCTTCTTGAGCTTGTTGCTCTCCCTGTAGACAAGTATCACTGCCTTCTTGAACACTGATGAGAGAGAGGAAGAAAACTTTGAGCACAACTTTGGGAGAACACAGGGACTCCATCCTGTTTACAGCACATTGGCACTACAGTGTATCCATAAAACCCCAAACTATACTGGTGTAACACTAAACAGCATCATTAATATTTTGGTAGATATACAATACATGTATCTAATAGCTAGTCATAAAATGTGTTGTGTTTACATGTGTTTGTATAAAGCCAGTGGAGTCCAGGCAGAGACAGACTGCTACCAGCCTCTGGCAGGGGCCAGGCACTCTCTTTCCCATGATGCCGCAGTAGCGGTACAGTGTCTTTCTAACTCACCAAACACGGTCATCTCGGGGTCCTTTCTCATGCGGCCCAGAGAGGAATGGGGGTTGAGCCAGATGACAGAGGAATGCATGAGGAATTCTCCCATGGTAAGCTCTGTGACCTGGGAGAGAGAAGGAAAAGGCCATGGTCCACAGTCAGTGTGTGAGGGACGTATTAAGTACTGTATCTGTACAGAGACTAGGGCCACTCGTCTAGCACAAACACGTTTTCTTTATGTGTGGTGATTGTTGAGTATCTAAAGAGGAAGTATCCATACGGGAACTTGACTATTTCCAACCAGTTTTATGTAAGAGATATAAATCACCAGGATCTCCTGAATAGACTAAATTGATCCTAATGGTTGTGCAGCAAATTCAGGCTGTGCTGGTATTAGTCTAACTACGTGGCTAGATTGAAGATGTGAGGGAGAGTGATGAAAGCTGCTGTAAGGGAAGAAGAGGGTAGAGCAGGGTACAGTACAGTATAGTTACCTCCTTCTCATGGCCACTCTGCTCTGCCACCAGCTGGTCAAACACAGAACCATAGTCCTCATAGATCTTTTGCATCTCATTGATGTGGCTGGCCACCTTCTCCATGGCCTTCAGGGCCTCTGTGGGCACAGAAGAGGGAAAGGAAGGGTTAATGTGTGTGCGCGTGTGCGCATATCTGTGTGTGCGTGCGTTTTCAAGTTACCTGTGAGGTGGTAGTGCTCCTCGCTGTCTGTGTCTGTGAGAGAAACCAGCTCCCGGAGCAGTAGAGGGTATTTCAACACTCTCTGGACTGGCTTGATCAGGTAGGACTCCAGGGTGGAGGAGTGCTGCTTCGTAGGGTTCCTCGCAGCCAGGAACTCCTTAAAGGCCGAATCAGTCTTAGCTGTAGACAACAAACATTAGACTTTATTTACCAAGCCCTGTACATAAGTTGTTCAATCACATCTTTCATACTGTAGCACGCTTAGATTACTGTGCTTAGTGACGCTAAATAGACCCACCACTGTATCTTGGTGCAATAATACTTGTCCACATGGGGGCAATATAGGCTACTCCTCACCACTGCAGTAACATGGCAACACTGCAGGTAGCCACTGTAAAACATGGTTTGGACATGAGACTGCCACTCCATTCCAAACACTACCATTCAAAAGACACTATGATTCAAAATAACCACAGCAGTGATTTTCATTCACAGTGTGTTTAGCATGGAGAGATGTCTAATATTGGGTGCTGTGTGGTCTTAAGCTCCTGAGTGGCGCAGTGGTCTAAGGCACTGCATCGCAGTGCTAACTGTGCCACTAGAGATCCTGGTTCGAATCCAGGCTCTGTCGCAGCCGGCCGCGACCGGGAGACTCATGGGCGGCGCACAATTGGCCCAGCGTTGTCCAGGGTAGGGGAGGGAATGGCCGGCAGGGATGTAGCTCAGTTGATAGAGCATGGCGTTTGCAACGCCAGGGTTGTGGGTTCGATTCCCACGGGGGGCCAGTATAAAAAAAAAAAATGTATTCACTAACTGTAAGTCGCTCTGGATAAGAGCGTCTGCTAAATGACTTAAATGTAAATGTCTTGGCTTGGTCAGGAGCTCACCAGAGCAGAGTACCGGCACCTCAAATGTTCTACTGCTTGAGCTCCTGTTCCTCTTATAGAATATTAGCTCAAAAGTATTGTGGAGCTCATGCACCTAAATATAAACAGTACTGGAACCCAAAATGAGTACCAGCACCTATTTCAGTCAAAATCAAGCACAGTGTAGCAGTGTAACACATTGAGAGGCATCCTGGAGGTCAGGTGTTGACATGTCTCACCACCTCGCTGTGTGGAAGGATTGAGAGGCCATTAGAGTATTAATTGTAGCACTCTGAGCCACAGACAGACAGCTGCATTGACACTTCATACAGTAATTGGGAGGCAATTAACGAGTAAACACAAAAAGTGTGTGCGTAGCAAGAACCCAGGCCACGGCACCACATTGGCAGAGCGAGAACCCAGGCCACGGCACCACGTTGGCAGAGCAAGAACCCAGGGCCTGGCACCACGTTGGCAGAGCAAGAACCCAGGGCCTGGCACCACATTGGCAGAGCGAGAACCCAGGCCACGGCACCATGTTGGCAGAGCAAGAACCCAGGGCCTGGCACCATGTTGGAAGAGCGAGAACCCAGGGCCCAGCACCACATTGGCAGAGCGAGAACCCAGGGCCCGGCACCACGTTGGCAGAGCGAGAACCCAGGCCATGGCACCACGTTGGCAGAGCGAGAACATGTAATTACTAGAACCGCTGACAGACACCCACAGATTCTCTGTGAATGCCCTCGTTCAGTTGTGTTGGGCTCCGCTGTGCTAGGCTTTGTTGTACTGGGATGTGCTGTGCTCTGCTGCAGAGTTCTGCTCTAATGCATGTTTACTCTGCTGTTTCCTACTCCAGTTAATTCTGCTTCATCAGAGACTGTTGTGGAACATGCAACGCCGCTTGCAAGATTCTCCCTGCACTATTAAAACTCAATTTCGGTACCTGCTTCTAGGAATGCAACGTGTAATCTTGTAATGGGAAGAATTTAAGAGGCACAGGGGTGCAATTTCCCCGCCTGCTCGATTTCATTCATTCTGCGCTGGGCAGCGTGCCCAAACCGGAGGAAGAGACCAACGTTAATGGGCATAAATTATGTTCAACATTTATATTCAAACATATAAACAGGGATGCTCAAAATTACTAGCACTCCCCCTGTCAGCATTTCATGGTCTTTCTCTCATTATAGACCAGCCTTAGTTAGCTGTGCAGCACAATGGGGGGACTTCAGCTAGCCTAGGCACTTTCACAGTTTTACAGTGGGAAGCCATTTACAGTTGAGTTGATACGAAAGAGAATGTGGGAGTCCAGACTGATAGAGTGAATACGAGGAGAGGTTGAAGTAAAGTGGAATTACATCATCACTTCACGAAGCAAGTAGCTCCATTCAGAGACATTTAACTGGAGTAAGTTATTGATGCAGGACCATAGGCGCCTAGTCAACTATGTCATTTACATAGAGTGCTGGGTTGGTGGAGATGATGCAATGGAGGTGCAAGGAGGTATTTTGGGCAGGTTGGGGGTGGTGGGTAGAGGGGAGACCCGTACCTCTCTCCAGAACTTTCTGGACCTTGATGTGGTTGGCACAGAAGCCACTGTAGAGCTTGAAGTGATCAGCGTAGTACAGGAAGGATCCACCCAGAGAGAAGAGAAGCTTCTGGAATAAGAGAGAGAGAGAGAGACAGAGAAGAGAGAGAGAGAGACAGAGAAGAGAGAGAGAGAGAGAGAGAGAGAGAGAGAGAGAGAAGGAGAGAAGGAGAGAGAGAAGGAGAGAAGGAGAGAGAGAGATGGAGGGAGAGTAAGAGTGTGTGAAGGAGAGCGAGATGGAGAGAACATGTGAAGTGGTGACCTGACCACTCTCACCTCCCTCCCACGGGACAGTGTTTAAAATCCCCCAGGCCTGTCCTCTCTAACCCCTGAGTACAGTGCTTTTATCAAGATACAACTCTCCATGGCAAAATGGCAAAATGGCAAAATCAATACGCCACAAACGATGCCATGTCAATGTGGTAAATCAATCATGCGTGAACCTGTTACATCTCGCAATAATAAATATATATATCTCAAAGTGCGGCAGGGTGATGGGTGAGTGATTTACATTTAGTGAGTGCATACATATTTATTTTTATCAAAAATGTTATAAATTGATTTGCATTTTAATGAGGGAAATAAGTATTTGACCCCTCTGCAAAACATGACTTAGTACTTGGTGGCAAAACCCTTGTTGGAAATCACAGAGGTCAGACGTTTCTTGTAGTTGGCCACCAGGTTTGCACACATCTCAGCTCCCTCCACAGATTTTCTATGGGATTAAGGTCTGGAGACTGGCTAGGCCACTCCAAGACCTTAATGTGCTTCTTCTTGAGCCACTCTTTTGTTGCCTTGGCCGTGTGTTTTGGGTCATTGTCATGCTGGAATACCCATCCACGACCCATTTTCAATGCTCTGGCTGAGGGAAGGAGGTTCTCACCCAAGATTTGACGGTACATGGCCCCGTCCATCGTCCCTTTGATGCGGTGAAGTTGTCCTGTCCCCTTAGCAGAAAAACACCCCCAAAGCATAATGTTTCCACCTCCATGTTTGACGGTGGGGATGGTGTTCTTGGGGTCATAGGCAGCATTCCTCCTCCTCCAAACACGGCGAGTTGAGTTGATGCCAAAGAGCTCGATTTTGGTCTCATCTGACCACAACACTTTCACCCAGTTCTCCTCTGAATCATTCAGATGTTCATTGGCAAACTTCAGACGGGCCTGTATATGTGCTTTCTTGAGCAGGGGGACCTTGCGGGCACTGCAGGATTTCAGTCCTTCACGGCGTAGTGTGTTACCAATTGTTTTCTTGGTGACTATGGTCCCAGCTGCCTTGAGATCATTGACAAGATCCTCCCGTGTAGTTCTGGGCTGATACCTCACCGTTCTCATGATCATTGCAACTCCACGAGGTGAGATCTTGCATGGAGCCCCAGGCCGAGGGAGATTGACAGTTCTTTTGTGTTTCTTCCATTTACGAATAATAGCACCAACTGTTGTCACCTTCTCACCAAGCTGCTTGGCGATGGTCTTGTAGCCCATTCCAGCCTTGTGTAGGTCTACAATCTTGTCCCTGACATCCTTGGAGAGCTCTTTGGTCTTGGGCATGGTGGAGAGTTTGGAATCTGATTGTGTTAGATTTGATTGCTTCTGTGGACAGGTGTCTTTTATACAGGTAACAAACTGAGATTAGGAGCACTCCCTTTAAGAGTGTGCTCCTAATCTCAGCTCGTTACCTGTATAAAAGACACCTGGGAGCCAGAAATCTTTCTGATTGAGAGGGGGTCAAATACTTATTTCCCTCATTAAAATGCAAATCAATTTATAACATTTTTGACATGCGTTTTTCTGGATTTTTTTGTTGTTATTCTGTCTCTCGCTGTTCAAATAAACCTACCATTAAAATTATAGACTGATCATTTCTTTGTCAGTGGGCAAACGTACAAAATCAGCAGGGGATCAAATACTTTTTTCCCTCACTGTAAGTGTGCATATTACACATGTATGACAAGAGATGGATTGGCAGAGGCAGCTGTAACACAAGGGTCACAAACAGTGTGTTTGTGTGTCATACCTTAAACTGCACAAGGGTTTCCAGTGTGCTGAAGTCAGGTGAAGAGGCGATCCTCTCCTCCAGCGTCTGCAGGAAGACCCTCTGGAAGTCCAGCATCTCTGGCAGGCTGCCAAACAGACTATCCATCTGAAAGAAAGGAGAGACAGGAGCCTGGTCAGTCAGAGACAAAGATAGCCATCTCTTTAAAGCGTTCAGTCAGAGACAGAGATAGCTATCTCTTTACAGCAGTCAGTCACTCGTTAACATCCCCCTCTGATGTCTCAGGTGAGAGGCACTTAGGAAAAGCCTCTCTCTCTTCCTATCAATTCAATTCAAAGGGAATGGGAAACATTTGTTTACATTGCCAAAGCAAGTGAAATAGATAATTAATAAAAGTGAAACAATCAATAAAAAATTAAAAGTAAACAGTACACTCACAAGTTTCAAAGGAATAGACACATTTCAAATGTCATATTATGGCTACGTACAGTATTATAATGATGTGCAAAAGTACAAAAGGGAAAATAAATAAACATACATATGGGTTGTATTTACGATGGTGTTTGTTCTTCACTGGTTGCCCTTTTCTTGTGGCAACAGGTCACAAATCTTGCTGCTGTGATTGCACACTGTGGTATTTCACGCAATAGATATGGGAGTTTATCAAAATTGTATTTGTTTTCGAATTCTTTGAGAATCTGAGGGAAATATGTGTCTCTAATATGGTCATACATTTGGCAGGAGGTTAGGAAGTACAGCTTAGTTTCCACCTCATTTTGTGGGCAGTGTGGACATAGCATGTCTTCCCTTGAGAGCCAGGTCTGCCTACGGCGGCCTCTCTCAATTTGTATTTGTTTTTGTATTTATTACGGTTCCCCATTAGCGGCTGCCAAGGCAGCAGCTACTCTTCCTGGGGTCCAACCACAATTTACATACAATAAAACAATACATATCACAACACCTTATTACACACTACTCTACCATAACATATTTACAATACAAAATCTAAAATACAGCAAAATAACAATATTAAAATGTGTGTGTGTAGAGTGCGTGTGTTAGCATGTGTTTGCGTGCCTGCTGTGTGTGTGCCTGTGTGTGTGTGTGTGTGTGTGTGTGTGTGTGTGTGTGTACAGTGAGGGAAAAAAGTATTTGATCCCCTGCTGATTTTGTACGTTTGCCCACTGACAAAGAAATGATCAGTCTATAATTTTAATGGTAGGTTTATTTGAACAGCGAGAGACAGAATAACAACAACAAAATCCAGAAAAACGCTTGTCAAAAATGTTATAAATTGATTTGCATTTTAATGAGGGAAATAAGTATTTGACCCCCTCTCAATCAGAAAGATTTCTGGCTCCCAGGTGTCTTTTATACAGGTAATGAGCTGAGATTAGGAGCACACTCTTAAAGGGAGTGCTCCAATCTCAGTTTGTTACCTGTATAAAAGACACCTGTCCACAGAAGCAATCAATCAATCAGATTCCAAACTCTCCACCATGGCCAAGACCAAAGAGCTCTCCAAGGATGTCAGGGACAAGATTGTAGACCTACACAAGGCTGGAATGGGCTACAAGACCATCGCCAAGCAGCTTGGTGAGAAGGTGACAACAGTTGGTGCGATTATTCGCAAATGGAAGAAACACAAAATAACTGTCAATCTCCCTCGGCCTGGGACTCCATGCAAGATCTCACCTCGTGGAGTTGCAATGATCATGAGAACGGTGAGGAATCAGCCCAGAACTACACGGGAGGATCTTGTCAATGATCTCAAGGCAGCTGGGACCATAGTCACCAAGAAAACAATTGGTAACACACTACGCCGTGAAGGACTGAAATCCTGCAGTGCCCGCAAGGTCCCCCTGCTCAAGAAAGCACATATACAGGCCCGTCTGATGTTTGCCAATGAACATCTGAATGATTCAGAGGAGAACTGGGTGAAAGTGTTGTGGTCAGATGAGACCAAAATCGAGCTCTTTGGCATCAACTCAACTCGCCGTGTTTGGAGGAGGAGGAATGCTGCCTATGACCCCAAGAACACCATCCCCACTGTCAAACATGGAGGTGGAAACATTATGCTTTGGGGGTGTTTTTCTGCTAAGGGGACAGGAAAACGTCACCACATCAAAGGGATGATGGACGGGGCCATGTACCGTCAAATCTTGGGTGAGAACCTCCTTCCCTCAGCCAGGGCATTGAAAATGGGTCGTAGATGGGTATTCCAGCATGACAATGACCCAAAACACACGGCCAAGGCAACAAAGGAGTGGCTCAAGAAAAAGCACATTAAGGTCCTGGAGTGGCCTAGCCAGTCTCCAGACCTTAATCCTATAGAAAATCTGTGGAGGGAGCTGAAGGTTCGAGTTGCCAAACGTCAGCCTCGAAACCTTAATGACTTGGAGAAGATCTGCAAAGAGGAGTGGGACAAAATCCCTCCTGAGATGTGTGCAAACCTGGTGGCCAACTACAAGAAACGTCTGACCTCTGTGATTGCCAACAAGGGTTTTGCCACCAAGTACTAAGTCGTGTTTTGCAGAGGGGTCAAATACTTATTTCCCTCATTAAAATGCAAATCAATTTATTACATTTTTGACATGCGTTTTTCTGGATTTTTTTTATGTTATTCTGTCTATCACTGTTCAAATAAACCTATCATTAAAATTATAGACTGATCATGTCTTTGTCAGTGGGCAAACGTACAAAATCAGCAGGGGATCAAATACTTTTTTCCCTCACTGTATCTCTTCACAGTCCGCGCTGTTCCATAATGTGTAGTTTTATCTGTTTTTTAAATCTGATTTTACTGCTTGACTGAGTTACATGATGTGGAATAGAGTTCCATGTAGTCATGGCTCTATGTAGTACTCTGCGTTTCCCATAGTCTGTTCTGGACTTGGAGACAGTGAAGAGACCTCTGGTGGCATGTCTCGTGGGGTATGCATGGGTGTCCGAGCTGTGTGCCAGCATTCCAAACAGACAGCTCGGTACATTCAGCTTGTCTACACCTCTTAAAAAATAAATAGCAAGGCCATGCTCACTGAGTCTGTACATAGTCAAAGCTTTCCTTAATTTTGGGTCAGTCACAGTGTTCAGGTATTCTGCCACTGTGTACTCTCTGTTTAGGGACAAATAGCATAATCTCACAGTCTCTCGCGCTCACCTTCCCACACCCTCTCGCTCTCCCACACCAACATTAAAAGGTGTTCAGAGTGTCTTGCTCTCTTGTCCGCTGTGTGCCTAGACACGTCTGAGTGTCCGTTAATGGTGGTTTAATCAGCCCCACTGCTCAGTGTGTATCGATGGATCTCTCCTGTGAGAGCGTCGTCCTGAGACTGAGGTCCCCCTTCCATCCCCCATCCACCCCTCCACCCATCCCACCAACCCCCCTCCCATCCCCCAACCCTCCACCAATCCCACCAACCCCCCCCCTCCTCCACCCAAACCCCCTCTCCCGTTGCACCAACCCCTCCTCCCCCCCCCCCCCTCCCATCCCACCAACCACCCGCCCCCCCCCCTCCCATCCCACAAACCTCAACTCCACCCATCCCACCAAACACCTTCCCTCCCTCATCCCAGGGCTCCCTCCTCTACCTCGTCCAGGGTTAGGAAGGTCTCGTTCTGCAGGGGCTTCAGGTAGATCTCAAACAGGCAACTCAGATCCTGGAGGAAGGAAAGACAGATATACAGACAAAAATAAGAAAAAGACATGAGCTGGGTTAGTGATAGGGAATCCAACAACACCACCACTGCATCACAGGGCTGGTATCAGTATCAACAGTTACTCAAAAGTGATCCGTTATCTTTCCCTTTCATTCTCTCCTCCTCTTCTTCTTTTCTCTCCTCCTCTTCCTTTCTCCCTCCCTGTGTTTTAATGTGGCTGCGGCCCGTCAGGGCTTCACTGGTGATATTCCTATTAGGCTGATTTACGGCCCCCGCCGCACAGCCAACGCAGCACATCACAGACAAATGGTTACAGCCGCTGCAGAGGACGCTGGGAAGGCGTTCTCCTCCCCTCTTATAAATCACCCACCCACCGCCGCCCGGAGAGAGAGAGATGGAGAGAGAGAGAGAGACAGAGAGGGCTGACAGGCATTAAGAGACGAGGTGGAGATCATGAAAGGAGCTCTTTAATGTGCTCTGAGAAAAGGGGTGTGACAGAAACTTGAGCTGTACAGGGCCTCTGAATGATGAGCCTGTGTACTGTAGAGTATAAACAATGATGCAGGCTACAGCTCTGCGGTAGGTAGGTAGGTAGGGCCACACAGACCGTGTCTTGGGACTATTCAGTGGCTTTCCTTTCCTTTTCGATCTCCTCAACCTGGCTCAACTGAATTGACTGTTTCATGGAAATCTGCCATTATCTTGAACAAACATAATATTAAGATAACAAATCATTACCTTGACATAGGACTTCTCTGTGTCCACCAGCTCCTGGATGACCTTGCGGAGCCTCTCGGTGGCGCTCATATGTCGGGGGCAGGGTCTGAGCAACGTGGGCTCGGCCCCTGGGTGCGGGGGGTCTTTGTGGCCCTCCATCAGGCCCCCGGAGCCCTCTTGGAAGGTGTGGTACAGCGTGCACACCGTCTCCACGCTCTACCGGGGGCGATAGAGAGAGACAGGTTAGGGACCACAGGAGTAAAGTAACATGTACACAAAGCTTACTAGGATCACAAGGACTTTTATCTTGGTTATCTTACCAGATAGATCTACAGTGCATTCGGAAAGTATTCAGACCCCTTGACTTTTTCCACATTTTGTTACGTTACAGCCTTATTCTAAAATGGATTAAATAGTGTTTTTCCCCGTCATCAATCTACACACAATACCCCATAATGACAATGCAAAAACAGGTTTGTAGAATATTTTTACAAACTCAGTACTTTGTTGAAGCACCTTTGGCAGCGATTACAGCGTCGAGTCTTCTTGGGTATGACGCTACAAGCATGGCACACCTGTATTTGGGGAGTTTCTCCCATTCTCCTCTGCAGATCCTATTAAGCTCTGTCAGGTTGGATGGGGAGCGTCGCTGCACAGCTATTTTCTGGTCTCTCCAGAGATGTTAGATCGGGTTCAAGTCCAGGCTCTGGCTGGGCCACTCAAGGACATTCAGAGACTTGTCCTGAAGCCACTCCTGCGTTGTCTTGGCTGTGTGCTTAGGGTCGTTGTCCTGTTGGAAGGTGAACCTTCGCCCCAGTCTGAGGTCCTGAGTGCTATGGAGCAGGTTTTCATCAAGGATCTCTCTGTACTTTGCTCCGTTCATCTTTCCCTCGATCCTGACTAGTCTCCCAGTCCCTGCCGCTGAAAAACATCCCCACAGCATGATGCTGCCACCATCATGCTTCACCGTAGGGATGGTGCCAGGTTTCCTCCAGACGTGACGCTTAGCATTCAGGCCAAAGAGTTCAATCTTGGTTTCATCAGACCAGAGAATCTTGTTTCTCATGGTCTGAGAGTCTTTAGGGGCCTTTTGGCAAACTCCACGCGGGCTGTCATGTGACCTTTACTGAGGAGTTGGAGTGCTGCAGAGATGGGTGTCCTTCTGGAAGGTTCTCCAATCTCCACAGAGGAACTCTGGATCTCTGTCAGAGTGACCATCGGGTTCTTGGTCACCTCCCTGACCAAGGCCCTTCTCCCCCGATTGCTCAGTTTGGCCGGGCGGCCAGCTCTAGGAAGAGTCTTGGTGTTTCCAAACTTCTTCCATTTAAGAATGATGGAGGCCACTGTGTTCTTGGGGATCTTCAATACTGCAGAAATTTTTGGTACACTTCCCCAGATCTGTGCCTCGACACAATCCTGTCTTGGAGCTCTACGGACAATTCCTTCGACCTCGTGGCTTGGTTTTTGCTCTGACATGCACTGTCAACTGTGGGACCTTATATAGACAGGTGTGTGCCTTTCCAAATCATGTCCAATCAATTGAATTTACCACAGGTGGACTCCAATCAAGTTGTAGAAACATCTCAAGGATGATCAATGAAACAGGATGCACCTGAGCTCAATTTCGAGTCTCATTGCAAAGGGTCTGAATACTTATGTAAATAAGGTATTTATTTAATTTATTTTTTTATAAATGTGCAAAAATTTCTAAAAACCTGTTTTTGCTTTTTCATTATGTGCTATTGTGTATAGATTGACGATGATTTGTTTTTTTTATTGATTTTAGAATAAAGCTGTAACGTAACAAAATGTGGAAAAAGTCAAGGGGTCTGAATACTTTCCGAATGCACTGTATGTCAATCAAAAACAATATCCCCATCAATCACCATAAGAAGCTGTCATACAGTACAAAGCACACAAAACTAAACCACAGCTTAGAGCGCAACTTAACCAGTATTCAGTATCACACAGTCATAGCTGTGTGATCGGCTCAGGGCTGTGATTGGCTCCTATAGTTCTAGTATCTCTACAGTGCCAGTACTGACAGGTGTGTGTGTGTGTGTGTGTGTGTGTGTGTGTGTTTGTGTGTGTGTGTGCGTACATGAGAGAGAGAGAACGTGTGTATTTGAGGGAGAGAAACGCTGATCGTTACACAAAAAAAGCAAGTCTCATAAAATATACCCTGCTTGTCACCATAAATATTGCACAGCGCACACATACATACACACATTCACACACACACACACACCATACAAATCAATACACTGTAAAACAACCCAGCAGGACCCAGCCAGTGTCTAAAGCCTGACTGAGTCACCCACAGAGACAGGGGACAAATCAAGTCCTCTATTAAGCCAGCAGCTCATCGGTTAGCTAATTATAGCATGACCACTCAGGAGACAGGTTGCCAAAGCAGCTTCAATACTAATCTGTAGAGAGGACAGAGAAGTCACTGGGCAGCACTGTGGGAGAAGTATAGCTATGGCACGGGGCTGGGATTAGGGGGCTGGTGGCTCAGGGCCCCACTGAGGGGAAGAGGATTCAGGCCTGGGGTAGGCTGGCCTCTAGACAGGACCACCCAGCCAGCAGCTCTGGGTCTCTGCGTGAGCAATGATAATTACACTGAGACTAAGCTGTCCCACTGCGCTACTGAGAGGAGAGCATCACATTGACTGGATTCTATACTGCTGTAGATACACAAAATAACAGACTCAGACATGCAGGCGAGCATCGGCATCCACCCACACAGGCACACACACTGAATGTAGTGGATATGTTTCACCCACACACTAACACAGACCAAAGCTCCTCCATATTGCAGCTGAAAGGCTGGGAGACCAGCTCAAGGAGGAAAAAGGGTTGAAGAATATCATGTTGACATATTATTCAAATACCCTGCAGCAGTTCAGAGGCAAACCTGCCTCACACAGACAGATAGCAGTAATTGTGTGGGGCTCTCGCCTGCCGTTTGTTTCTGCTGCTGCAGTCACTGGGGGGCCTACAGAGGATCTGGAGAAACCACACACACACACACACACACACACACACACACACACACACACACACACACACACACACACACACACACACACACACACACACACACACACACACACACACACACACACACACACACACACACACACACACACACACACACACACACACACACAGGGATTCTCCCTGTCTCGCAGCATGACTTTTCATCAGCTCTTAATAAGAGCGACCTGTAAGAGCGTGACTAGGGGAAAAGAGAGAGAGAGAGAGAGAGAGACATAGACATGACTCAGAAGTCTCTGTCTCACACAACAATCCCAACAACACAGTCTGAGCCGAACGCCGAACGCCTGACGACTAACCCAAATATCCAATTAAGACCTGCAAAGCCGGCTCGGGAGCCGTGGAGGCAGGAGAGGGGGAGCGGAAAGCAGGAGACAGGGCTGCAGCCGCAGAAAGGACAAGCACATCTGACAGCGCTAGTCTCAATTCTCCATCCCTCGGTTAACCCAGAACTAAACCAAGAACTGTCTGGGTTTTTCTGATTGAACAACCATGAAGCCTGTGGGAATGCTAGGTAGAATGAGCTGAATCCTATCCGGTCAATTAGCCCAAATTGGACACCTCACTCGGAACTCGGCACTATCAACCAATCTCCTCTCCCTGTTGTAAAGCCAGACATCTTTCTCTCCCTCTCACCATGAGGAATAGTTTCAACATCTGTCACAACCCCTACAGCCCTAAAACATGTTGAGCCATAGAGGTTGATAGCCATTGCCACACAAGAACCCCATATACCCACTACCGCTGTCCTTCCCTCTTTAAACGGTCAACTCTACTCCCACGGCCATCATCAATCCTCTCGATCTCAATCCCTCTCTGTCCTACTCACCATGAAGAGCAGTCTGTAGAGGAGCCTCCAGGCTGCTGTGGCCTGTCTCTGGGTCCTACGGGCCAGGTTACAGCCCTTCCTATGCAGCCTACCTGGCCTGGACGCTGGCATCACGGCTGGACTGGGTCTGACCGATAAACCACACTTAGTTGGTGCTGACTGGACAGTACTTGATAGTTCTAATCAGATCCTGTGGCCTTCTCACTTCCCTTCTCTCTCTGCTCAGACTCTCTGCCTCTTCACGTTCAGTATTCCCCCCCTCCTCCTCTTCCTCATTAGTGGCTGAACCTCCCTGTCTGTCACCCCCTCCTTCTCTTCCTCCTCTTCCTCCAGGCCTGGAGAAGCCTCACTCTACAGATTACCTCTCCCTCCAGGGACCAGGGGCCATTTGATGGGATCTAGCTATTAATCCTGAACCTAGAGGTTCTGAGAGCGTAGGCATTTGACTAAAAACTGCTGCTGCTGCCCGCACCAATCTGCATATCAATCGGAGTGGACGGCCTGACCGAGCGGACAGTGCAAACGGAGGGGCATTCCTCCCTTGCTCTCTCTCTCTCCCACCCCATCGCTGGTCCACATGACCCTGGTCAGCTTCCAGAGAGTATAATGCAGAGGCCAGGCTGCCAGTGTTACTGGCCATGCAGCCTCTCAATTCATCAATACAATGAGGACTCTTCTGGGCTGCTGGATATACTGTGACACTGTCAGAAATAGCTGTATCTGTTCAACAGGCCAGGGGGATTCAGGGGCAGAGGGGGGCATTCATCTAAACTGACAACAACACAGACACACTGTAGGGAGGAGGGGCCCTCTAATGAAGTATTTTGGGTGCTTTTGAAGAAAAAGAGTCCAAGCCTATGTTTAGAAGCTATGCGTCATGGAAAACAACATCTTACTGAGGCGTCTGGTGTGACAGTTGAGGGGGATTTGAGTCCGGTGTTTGCAAACAAAGCTACCCAAGGTCACTAGCTGAGTAGCCTCGGCTTCCAGGCTTCGCTCGCCGAAGGGGAGGTCAAAGTCTGGTAGCGGCTACTACTGTAGTTGAGTGACACTCACAGAGACTATTTAGTTCCAAATCCAGGTCAGGTTACCTGACTAGAGGCTCAGGCCTGTGTGGGCAGACCAGTCCAACACATAACAACGCAAATAACTAGCCTTACTAAGGTCTCAGTACAGAAACAAGATATTACATTACATTCAACTATCTTCCCACCCCTAGAAGTGAACGGCATTCTGAGAATGCAACCAAAATGAGTGTCTAAAGGTGTCGGAATGTCTGAAAGTATGTGGTTAACTTCACTAAAGATATAACACTGGATATATTTTGATGATCTCTTTTGCAAACTCCAATGTGATCTCAAAGGCTAGGTATTGTTCATGTGAAATCCTAAGCATGTTGACATGGGAGAGGTCAGAAGGAGCTGTTTGTGAAGAGGAGCGATTTGTGGAGAGATTACCACTCCTGCTCGCCAAATGGGGTGATTAACCACCAGCCTGGTATTTTCCACCCACAGGGAAGGTGTCATCCACAACAGCTCTCTTTCGCTCTTCCTCTCCTTCATACACACACTGGCAGCCAAAAACATCCAAGTGTCTTCCAAGCCAAGGTCAGAACAAATGTCTCCTAAGCCAAGGTCAGAACACACTCCAACCTGGCTTTACTGACATCTTATTCAAATAGTATTCAAATACAGTGAGGTTAGAAACAAACACAGCCCAAAGACAAACAAGAGCTGTCAAACAGTTGAGTGAAACCGGATACTGTTCATTCTCCCCCTCTCACTGCCAGACATTAAAACAGAGTCATTAAAAGCCAAGGGCTCAGCCTACTTTAAGAGATGAACTGCTTTTCAAATCAAAGAAGAAGAATCCTCCAGGCTCCAAAATACATTCTCTTTACGAAAATAAACAAACCCAAATGGAAAGTCTAAAGTGTAAAGCCGGTGATAAAATATGGGGTGTCCCTCGGGCCGGCTCAGCCCATTGCTCACAGCAGAGTGTCCTGTCGCACCACAGTAAGGCTCTGACAGAGGCAGATTCATCCCTCAGGTTAGGCCTATTGTGTCACGTTGCCATCTGCTTTTTAGGGCTCAATAAATCAAACAGGGAGGGAGGGCCCTAGCCCCTCTGTTATTCCCATTATACGCTTTATTATTCATTCTAAACAAATATTATTTCACCGGGTCTCTGAGGAGACTTCAGAGTGAATGTTTTAATAACGAAACACCCTCAGATTAAAAATCCATTCTGATGAGTCCCCATAGGGGGTTGAGACATACAGTATTATACTGCATCCCCACGACTAGAACAACAAAGTAGGAAAATGCTAGCAGCAACCCTAACTGCCAAATATGACTGATATAAAATGGTAGTAGAGGAAAGGCATAGTAATAGAGTAGTGAACCATTTTCCTCAACATGAGACCAGTTCCAATAAATTGAAAGCACAGGAAGGAACAGTCTGTGATGGGGAAACCTGCTAGCCACATGACCTGGTGACCTGATATAAAACAGAGAATGGTGATAGTAAACACTCCTGCTGGGCCACAAACCTGCCACAGAGGATGTCTGATAACATCTGATTGGACATCTAGCAGGCTACCAACGGCACAGTCCCTAATATAAAGCAAAACCATAAAAACAGTAACAGCCAAGCCAACCTTCCCTCTGACCTACTTGGTAATAAAGATTTACCAGAGATAGGTTGACCAACCAGTAGGACTATCCTGGATACAAATGAATACTGAGATAGAAGAGGAAGAGTGATACAGTAGCCCAATGCTAGCGCTATGGTTGTATTGTTGGTATTATTGTTTGTATTTTAAATGTGTGTGACTGTCCTTGACTATCAGTGTATCAATCAGTGTTTTGTTACTTGTCATGCTTTGTGTTTTTTGTGGACCCCAGGAAAAATAGCTGCTGCTTCTGCTAAAGCTAATGGGGATCCAAATAAAGAAATAAAGAAATATGCCCTCTTGACCTAGTAGTATATCAGAGTGAATTAAACTGACCATTGATCCCGTGGGAAGCTGCTATGCAATAATGTACTGTATGCAATCTATATACTTCAATAAATCATCAGTAGAGGCAGGTTGGAGAACTGTAAAGCACAGAACACCAGTGATACAGTATCCCTCTACTAGAATGACCTGCAATCTGTACTGATTAAACATATGACACTATAGTATATATTGTAGCTAGCAGCCTATCATAAACCCTGCTCAAACACCTGGAAAAGGCAGAGGTGGGTTACCAGGAGTCCAGTGCATGGGTCGGGGGCCGTAGGTTTCTCACAGGCCATGCATCCAGCCATGTCATCTAGCAGCTGGGCCAGCTTGTCCTTTAGCAGCTGTCTGAGGGTGAGCAGGGCCGAGCCCAGAAACAGGTCCTTCTCCTCTGCTTCACAGCCTCCAGGCCAGAACCAGCACATGGCCAGCAGGGAGCACAGAGCCTGGGCAGGGGACTGGTCCCTGATGAACAGCTCAATCAGGGTGGTGAGGTAGACGCAGTGCCTGGCCTCTTCCTTCTCCTCCGCCGCCACCACCACCCCATTCCTCTCAGCCATCAAACCACCAACCAGCCCTGAGCCATTGTATGGGGCTGACTCCAACGCTCCCCAGCTTGCCTCTTCCTCTCCTCTGGCGAGCCCTCTACGCCTCTCTCGATAAGTCTATCTCTCCTTCCCTCTCCCTCTATTGCTCTGCAGTGGGGCTGCTCCAGACGCTGGGGCTGCTCCCCAGCCATAAACCCAGATTATTAGGCTAGTCACGGCCATATGGTGACTGATAGACTTAGTCATCACCACCACCCACTCCACCCCCTCCACAGGCAGGCACGAGTGGGGGGGACTGGAATTGTCTGTGTTTGGGGGCTTTCCCCCTTTCCTAAGGAGGACCTAAGTAGGTGGGAGAAGTCTAAAGGGGCTGTAGTCCATAGCTCTTTATTTCTAGTGTCCATTGGTCTTTGCTGGCTGTTATGTGGTCCAGAAACCAACTAGAGGAGAGTAGTAATAACGCAGTGAATGGAGAGCATATCTGACCTCTCACATTCACACATATAAAAAAGGTTTTGAAAACCCCTTTCAGCTGTCCTCAGCCTAGACCCGAGAATAGAGCAACTGAATTCTTAACAGCAATGGCACCCAAAATACATGCTGCCATTTACAGTAAGCTGCCCAGAGTTCCTGGAAGGACCATTTTTTGTTTCCCCACAGTCACTAAATCATCAATTAGTGAATCAAACCAAGCCATTGGACTTTGGCAGAAAGGCAGGCTAGGGTAAGGGAAGGGTGTGGTTACTGCTCTTTGTACTGTAACATCCCTTTATAGGCTCTTAGTTAAGGGTTGGAGGAAGTTAAGGAACTTACTCTGCTCAGCCAGTTGACCAATGGTATCTGTGACACAACAACTTCATGCCACTGCCAGCCTATAGAGGCTGGTGATGTGTGACATATGCTATTTCATTCAGTGGTACAGTTCCTCTTGGGACCTACAGACAAGGTTTACAACGTCATGGAGCTGTAAAAAGAATATGAGGGCTGTGCACCAGATTCTAAAGGGATGTCATAAATCATAATGTGACTGACCATGGCAAAATCGCTCCATATGGAGCAATTTGATGAAAGAAACATAGTAGTGTAGTACCAAATGAAATGCTACTGGTAAACTACCCCAACTCACCTGGTCCAATAAGATACAATCAACTGGTATTAATAACTACAACAACCTGGTATTACAACAACCTGTAAATGTGGTTTAAAAAATTTTTTTTTTGTCATAGTGTTGATGTATGGTATCGCCACTGGGTATCATAAGTATTACCCACTTGAATTTTTTCACATTATGTTGCGTTACAAAGTGGGATTGAAATTAATTTAATTTTGATGTTTTTTGTCATTGATCTACACAAAATACTATAATTTCAAAGTGGAAGAAAATTTTGAACACTAAAACAAATCATGAAAAATAAAACACTAATATACCTTGATTAGATACAGTTGAAGTCGGAAGTTTACATACACCTTAGCCAAATACATTTAAACTCAGTTTTTCACAATTTCTGACATTTAATCCTAGTAAAAATTCCCTGTCTTAGGTCAGTTAGGATCACCAC